AAAAAACCATCGTAGATTTAATTTTGGTTATGAAATACAGAAGTATCTGTATGTCATGAAAATCGTTCTCCTCAGCTTCAGAAGACTGATGGATTTTAATTCCAAGTACGCAGTGGCTCTCAACAATGATTTCCATTTCTGTGCTACTGCTAACCCTCTGGATAAATGTGCCAGGAGTTTTAGGAATTGCTTTTCTGAGTTACTGGTGCAATAACTTTAGTTTGAAATTCTCAGGTCTCTCATAGTTTACCACAGAAACTTTATTAACTCCCAGAGCTGTTGCCAAGCAGGTATTTTATATCACCGCAATGCAAGACTGGAAAAGGCAGACTCACTCAAGTCCAGATTCATTACAAAATATATTCATATTTTGTGGTACAAATTCCTACAATAGGCTTTCTGAGATTCAAAGATTCATGTGAAAATAAATCCCAAGTATCATCCTCTTTCTTCAGAGACGCAAAAATACACGAGCTAAAGATGACACTAACTGGTGGATTTACCAAGGACACTAAAAATAGCTACTGGGTCACTAGAGAGACCCATGGGCAAATTCCAATGGGAGTTAATTCTGCCATTGTTCCATGGCAGAATAGGGACTCTGACCTCCAGACCTTTCCACACAACACCCTGTAGAACACCACCTCAAACTGGAAGAGAGTAGATTTAGAACAGATATTAGGAAGACATTTTTTCACTATGAGGATGGTCAGGCACTGGCACAGGTTGCCCACGGAAATTGTGAAAGCTCCATCCCTGGAGGTGTTCAAGGCCAGGCTGGATGGGGCTTTGAGCAACCTGGTCTAGTGGGAGGTGTCCCTGCCCATGGCAGGGGGGGTGGAACTAGGTGATATTTAAGGTCCCTTCCAACCTAAACCATTCTATGATTCTGTGATTTAACAGACCCATAATCATTTGCTGATCCTGTACTACAGGCCGCCTGGCAGCAGCAAGACCTACTTCAGCATAACTGATGTGCATTAGATGTTAATTAGTAGTAGCTTTATTAAATTTCTATTAGTGGCCGGTATGTTATGAATCTAATTTTAGAAA